TTACTCATTCAAAGGTTTGAATTAAAAAACAAAAGGTAGCGTACTTCTCGCATTCGTCATGTCCGTGCTCTGAAACTGTGATTAACTCAAACTCCGATGGAGGTTGTTCGAGGTTCTTCGTCTCTAATATACGTCTGGAATCACTGTTCGGTATCATTTATGACGTTTCGTTCCTGAATCATCGACTATGTTACGTTACGGTATTAAGTGTTCATCCCCATTAACATCGTTCTTTCTCCTTGGACTCACGCCGCCCACGGTGAAACTCTTCCTATAAAAAGGTATGTGTTCTTCCCATAAACATCATCCTCACCAATCCTATACATTAGAAACTGTTTTCTTAATGTTCATCATTGTTTTGAACACATCTGTGCTTAGATTCGTATTTATTAGGATTAGTGATTTCGATATTATGTTTTTCTCTTTGGAATATGGTTTGAATCTGGTTGTTTATTGTGTCTATTTGTGTGATGTGTTTCTCGAGATTCTTGGATCTAGCTTCCAGAGGTTTCAACTTTGAGTCAATTGAAGAAGGTATCAGTTCATGCACTGCTGAAAACGAGTATTCAGAAACCAAAGTTTGCAACTTTATAACGAACCCATAAATTCTAGATCGATTTTTCATGCTAAATGCTAGAGATTTATGAACAACCCGACCTTAGCGGCATTGTTCAGGGTTTCAGAATGCAAGCGCGTGTGGAGATCTCTGGAAATGGTTCGCCTGAAGAGTGATTTGGGTTTTATGAAGAGTAAGCTGCAGTTAAGAGGCGGAGGGTGGAGAGATAGAATCCGGTGAGAGGCGACGTTGGAAAAAAAAGCCATTGATGGAAAGACAGAGAAGGATAGAGAAAGATAACAATAAGATTTCTACTTGGTACAAACTTCACATACTCAATTGGGTCTCATTGTTGTTCTGGGGAACAATAGATGCAGCCGTGGTCTAATCCAAAGAGCACATTGCGAGCTTTCTACTTCTAATTATGCGTCTACTCAGAAATTCATCTGTTTCGTTATTTGACAAATAACTCTTGCTTTCTATATCTTTTTAATTTTTTTAAATTACAATCACATCTCTATTTTATGAAGAGGTGCATGCTTTGCTTTTTTTTTTTAATTTTTCACTTCCGACCATCTTCAATTAATAAAATATAGACCACAAATTGCTTTAAAAACAACCGTACAAATGCAGTAGTACACAGCAATAAGCTGCAGCAAAATAATATATAACCCACAGATTTCTTGGCAAAGAAGATATTAATATGTCTGGCTGCTATAAAACCGTCACACAAACAGTCACACATATGTTTAAAGCATGTTTTGAGCAGAGTTTTTTTTTGGTGATCATGTATTAACAAGAGTTGAAACTTCAAGCTTCTGACTACAGTAAGTAACCTTCCTAAAATGTAAATAAATCTTAATTGATGGAGGCTACGTAATGAGCATTAACACAAACGACGTGTGCACAATATATATATGAATAGAAAATCATGTAAGATACAACATTTAATAAAACATGTATATTTGAAGGAAGAAAATGGTAAACGGATAAAAAAACCATGTGTTAGAAGAAAGATGAATAGAAATTTTTTTTTAGATGAATAGAAAATTTAAACTCCATGAACATAAAGTTCTGAAAATATATTAATCATAATATTTTATATAGGCTACTCACTTACAAATGTACTTCATTTCAGAACTCCAGGTCTGACATCCCCACACATTACCAATTCGATTCAAATAAATATCAAAATAAGAACAAAAGATAGTTTCGTAAACGTTCTTAGAGCACATGCAACGCCGGTTTCAACCGAGTTCTTAGCGGTTAATCCTAGGAAGATTAGATTACAAAATATTAAACTCTGCAGGGATTGGTGCGGAGCGGTCCGATACAGAGAGATTAAAGGACTGAGTCCTTGCTGACATGGTGCGGTCTGATTGGCTCGGTGAGTAATATAAACCGTGATGAAAAAAAAAAATTCGGTCGAAAGCAGGAAAAAAAAAGCTCCGTACGTGACTTTTGAGGCGTAGAAAAAAAAAATTTCATTCGATCTCAGAGTTTAATCAAGGTAAATCGAAGCATGTTTCTTGTTGATTTATGGATATAGATTCGGGTTGCATGTTCTTTCTTCGCCTTTTAGGGTCGGGATTAGGGAGTTCACTCTGATTTGGGAAAGTTTTTGTTGTACTCGATTTGGGTTTTCAAATAAACGATTTCGTTTTGAATCGATTAGGTTTCTTCTCTTATTTTGAAAGGGTTTCAAAACGATATGGGGATTATTTTAGTTCAATTGGAATGTGTTTAACCGACTTTGAATGTTGTATTGTATATATACATTTTGTCATGAACATCAATAAACAATGTCTTACACTTGGATTGCTTAGTAATGTGTTCACCATTCTGCCTCAAATTTGGTGATCAAGCTTAATAATTATTGTATCTTTCAATTTAATTATGCAATTAATAATTTTTTTAAATTTCTCTTGTTTAAACAAAAACTTGGTGTTTCTCATGTTTATACAAAATAAATTATTTTTCCCCTAAGGACTCCAAAATAGAATCCATCATTGCATTCACCCTTTAGGATTAGAGTCCTTAACTATTCCAAAAATTAAAAAAAAAATACATTAAAGGTCTAAGGACCCCAATTAAAAGTCCACCTTTGTAGATGCCCTTAACGTTGCAGAAACTTCCGTGAGTGTTGTAAGGATAATAATGGATGCATTTTGGTGGATATATAGTTTTAAATTCTTTAAATCGGAAGCAATTTTTTTTTGGTAATCATGTATTAACAAGAGTTGAAACTTCAAGCTTCTGACTAGTGACTTATACAGTAAGTAACCTTCCTAAAATGTAATTAAATCTTAATGGGCGGAGACTACGTAATAAGCATTAACACAAACGACGTGTGCACAATATATATGAATAGAAAATCATGTAAGATACAACATATAATAAAATCATGTATATTTGAAGGAACAGAAAAATGGTAAACGAATAAAAAACCATGAGTTAGAAGAAAGATGAATAGAAAATCTTTTTTTAGATGAATAGAAAATTTAAACTCCATAAACGTAAAGTTCTCTAAAATTTTAGGAATATGAAAATATAATAATCATAATATTTTATATAGGCTACTCACTCACAAATGTACTTCATATCAGAAAATATAACAATCTCTTCATTACAATAAAAAATAAACAGAAAGTAAGCAGATTTTTTTTAAAAAGTGTTTCAAAAAAGGAACAAAAAAGCAAGCTATTGCACAAAAAAAGATGTTCCTACAAACTTAGAATATTTTGAAGTTTTAATATATATTTTTTTACCTATTTTGGTATATGCTCATGTTTCTGTAAATAAAGTATTCATTTTAGCCAACATAAACTTAACATGAATCATGATATCTTATACCATGATTCAAATTATTTCTAGAAAAATAATTAAAATTGTTGTAAAGAATTAAGCACGTTGATGCTACTTTTAATTAACCTAAATACATTTAAAATAAATTCTATTATTAATTTATTTTTTTAACCGTACATAGTAAAAATATTCAATACAAGCATATCTTTTTTTAAAAAAAAATATCTAATATAATTACTGGTATAGTTAAACTAAAATAAACACTAAAAGAAATTAATAAAAAATGTCATTATAAATTCATTGCAATGCAACAATATCTATCATCACTAATGCATAATTGACGGGATCCGAATGAACATAAAATGTCTTACATGCTGAGACACAATATATTAGTCGAAATGTTTTTCGTTCCCAAAGTACAATAAATTGTATTCAGTTTGTTCATTTAAAATAATACATCCATCGCCTATATTGATTTTCTTTTTATTTTTATTTCTATATTTCTTCCTTATTAATAAATTTACTACTGCAACTAATTACATAATATACAAAATATATATAACCAAAAAAATATCACACAAAGAAAACAAACAATTGCCTCAATTGTTAATAATATCAGTTACTAACATTCTACAAAACAACAACAATAACTTTGACAAAGATTTTTTCAAAATGAAAATGTCATTCTCCACTATTTTATACTCTCACAAAAAAAATGGTATTAGAAATTTGATTCCCACTCTCTTTTGACCAAATCTCATTAATTTATGTATTTTATTGTTTTAAACTGAAAATATTATTAAACTTTACGATTTAGGATTAAAACAGCAAAAGAATAAGAATTCGATAATTTTTGGTTATATAGTTGAAATTTGTTGCAAACACAAAATCATACTCACACTCAATCTAACATAAAAATTAATTTACATAAAGTTACATTTTTAATAAAAATTGATCCATCAAATTCTACCCGTAGAGCGGACCTATCATAGTACCGTATATAATAAATACTGCGAGGTCGTAGCTGCATGTACTTTTAAACAAAAAGAAATGTCATGTACTTCTTTCTCTAAAACCAAAACAAAATAATTATAAATTCACGAAACAGTATTTGCTCCAAAAGAAAAAAGAAAGAATCATGAAACAGTGGAAAACAGAAAAAGGAAAGAAGAAGAAGATGTCGCACGCGCGAACCAAATAAATAGTAGTATAAGAGAAAAAGGTTGGGGAAAGAGAGGGAGAAGCTCGAGAAGAGTGTGGGAGAAGGCAAACCCCAAAAACACTGACTAGACACAGACCGTTGGGCCCGACTCTTCATGCATGCATGCACTCTTCTGACACCTTTCTTATTCTCTCTATAATAATATGTTCATTTTTAAACTTCATTGACATTAATTATAACTTAGTTTATAAACTTGGACGTACTGGACCTATATGTGTATGCCTTAAAATAATGAGAACGTTCAATTCAAAATAGTTCTTAAATGTGTTTCTTTTATATTATAGTGCTTCTTAAATGTTTTGTTCAAATACCATTTAAACTCCAATGTCCAGACATTTAATGTGGGAAATGGTCAGGTCACTGTTTTTACTTTTCGCTGTCAGTCTCCTTCACTCACTCACTCAACATTGTTTCAGATTTTAGAGCAAAAGTCTCTACACCCAAAACCTCCACTCAATTCCCTGCCATCAAAACCTGAGCTTCTTCTTTCCAAAGCCTTAAAAGTTTGTAAAATCAAAAAAACCTTTCTCTCCAGCATCCTATTCATTCACTTCTCTTCTTCATATTTCTTCTTGAGCCATGACTAAAGATGAAGACTTTAAGCTCCTAAAGATTCAGGTACTTTTCGTCTAAAACTTTACACTTCATTTCTCTTTTATGGGATTAAGCTTACATTGTGTTAATAGATAATATATGTTTTAATGAAACCACAGACTTATTCCCTCAGAGTCAGTATCCATTGTGAAGGTTGTAACAAAAAAGTCAAGAAACTTCTTCAGAGGATCGAAGGTTTCTTCTATTTCACAACATGCAAAACATTTCTACTTTACCTATTTTGAATTCTTGAAGTATACACATTATCTTTTTTTTTTTTTACCATAAACAGGAGTTTACCACGTAAAGGTAGAAGCAGAGCACCAAAAGGTAACTGTCTCAGGCTCTGTTGACTCAACCACACTCATCAACAAACTCGTTAAAGCTGGCAAACACGCAGAGCTTTGGTCTCCAAACCAAACCACCAACCCTAACCAGCCTCAGAAGCCCAAGACTAATGACGTCATCAAGAACAACCAAAAGGGTCAAAAGCAAGGCTCTGCCAAAAGTGGCCTTGAAACCTTCAAGCCCAAGAACAACCCCAAAGGTGCGGCCTGTGTCACGGAGGAGGAAGATGAAGACGGTGGCGAGGAAGAAGATGGACAAGTTAAGCTACCCAAACCGGTGAATCAGCAGCAACAAGCCGTCAAGAAAAACAGTGGAGGAGGGCCAACGAACAATGGGAACAACGGAGTCAACGCATCAAAGAAAGTCAACCAAAAACAGAACAGCCAAAACCAAAACAACAGTCAAGCAGTGGCGGCTGCTATGAGGATGAGAAACGCCTCAAAAGTGAACTCTGGTGTAGACAACAACGAGATTGGAGCTCTCATGGGACTAGCTGGATTCAACGGCGCAGCAACAAACGCCGTGAATCCCCAAAATGGGATGCAACAACTTCAAGCACCTCCGTTAAACAACATCAACAGCGTCACAACTCACAACATGAACAATGGTAATGGAGGACCAAGCATGATGATGAACATGAATGGATACAGCAATCACCATCCAATGAACATGCAGAATAGGCCATTGATGCATCATCACCAGCCTCAACAAATGATGTACCAACGACCAGCTTTCGTACCACCTTCAAGCAATGGGTATTATTACAACTACAGCCCCAGTCCTTACACTTACTATCCTTATTACCCTTACACAACAGAACACCAGCAGCATGTTAGTCATTCATCTGCAACAAACATGTCCAGTGATGAAGACACTAGCAATAACACCAGCTGCATCATCATGTAACCGTTGTTGCTTGCGGAGAAAGGTATCTTTCTACTTCTGTTAACAAGTCTACGAAGTGTAATCTTTTATTGCTAGTGGCTAATGTGATATATTATCAACTAGTTTTCTTTCTTTCTGCGTATGTCATCAATGCAACACATTTTGGATTGATATGAAGTGTGTTATATCATATGGTTTTTATGTTACTGTTTTGAGTCATGCATGTAAGATGCTTTTGTTATCACTAATGTAGTGAGTGAGATTCATAAAATGCGTTTGGTACGTTGTTTGAAGAGGAGCGTTTGGAGCGGTTGATTTTGTCAGAACGTGGTTTGTGTGTATCCCTCGGAAAAGATATTCTCTCTATCTACTCAAAAGTTATTCCACCTGCTGGCTGATTCTCGGTAGGTATCTCGTTATACGGGTCACCTATTTTATTTAATGCGACATTCAATTCGAAGTTTTTAAAAAGTGGGACTAGTAAAATTTATGTCTTAGACATGCATCAATCAAGTCTCGGTAGGGTGAAAATTATAAGTTATTTGAGAAATGAGCCGGTTTTATTTCTTTTATAGGCCTACAAATAGTAGCCCAACTTGATAAAAAGAGAAAGAAAAAAAACAGAAATCCATTTACGAGAAATCTCGATAACCATACAAGATTCCTCAACCAGGTGACAAAAACATGCAAACAAAATCGCAAAACATAGTCTTTGTGTTCTGTATGTGATGAATGGATGGAATGGGGAGAAGATTTTCTCATTTATTTACCTTACGAGATGTATCATAAGTTTCAGGTTTAAGTGGTTATATTTTTTGTGTTTGGTTTTTATTAAGATGAATGGTTATATTGGTTTCGATCTATCTAGGCTACCCACATTCACCATATTTTGTTCACTAATCGTACTTTGATATGTATATTCTCTATATCACCATACTAGACGCAGGGATAAGTGGTTGTATTTTTTTTTTTTTTTTTGAGAAACACTAAGTGGTTGTATCTACATTTGAGTTTATGTATAGTTTCTTTTCAAGTTGAAATGGGTTAACAAATAGTCAAATAATAATCAGTCTTTTTAAGTCTCCATAAAATATGTTGTGGTTGGGTAACAATATTGAATTGAATCACCGGTTCTAGCGAGTTTGGTTGGTTTTTAATTAGTTCTAATTGTTTAGTTCAAATCCAGTTCTTAAAGTAATTTAAAACCAGTTAGATTAACGAATCACATTTTGACTGGTCTGTTCAGTCCGGTTTCAAACATTGGATGTAAGAGCATCATTATCCCACATACTCATTTAAGGGTTCTTATTTTTTTTTTAATAATTTTTAGTTAGAAAAGTGGTTTAAGAGACTTAGTTAAGAGACATATATATTTGTGTGGTCCATTGCAAGTCTTTTATTTAAAGGTTCTTAAAAAAAAAAAATTAAACATTCTTAACACTTGCCCTATCTTCCATACTACCATCTCCCATACCATTACAGTAGCAAGTATTCATTCAAACATGATCCAAAGCAACCAAATTTACAGAACAATCAGAGTGAAGTTTGATGGGTGTTGTTGGAGGAAGCAACGAGAATGAAGTTTGATGAAGTCAAGTCCAGTGGACACTCTGTAACACATATACAAAAGGAAACAATCAACACAACAACGACATTAAAAAGGAAGAGGAGATAAATAAAACTTTTCCCGCAGCTGAGATTAGACGGATGAACATGAACATCATCTTCCTCTTGTTTCTTTGAGCTTTGACTTCTTTAAAGGTTTTAACGCAATAAAGCTACAACGAAGAACATATGTGTTTGTGTTTATGTGCTTTTTCTCTTCAAGCAAGACTGCGCCAAACATGATAAATACTGATATGTTAAACAAGTCAAATGGGTCATCATAATTATTTGTATACAAGTAATAATCCTAAGAACTGTACTCAAAGACCATACAATTATATCAATTGATCACTTCAGGAATCACAGCCAACAACAAGATCAAAAGAACCAAACTTTACAATCAACTAAGACTTGATAAGCAAATCAAAACAGAGAAACACTTGTAAATTAAAGGAGACAATCTATTTCAACTCAAGAAGCTGTAAGAACAGGGTCAATACCACGGATATGATTCATCAAAAATAAACATTAACCAAACCTCAAAACAGAGAACAAATTTTTTTTATCTAATCACTACTACAAAATCAGATCATATTCATCAGAAAAGATCAATGGAAGATAAGAAACATACAGATGGTTTCATGTGTTTCCGAAACCCTCCATTTCTTGCTTCCTCTTCCATTTTCAATGATTCCCTAACCTGCACCAATTTGAACGATTCTCATGAACATCGAATACACACAAGAAACAGAATAATTTTCATAAAAGCTAGAGACTTTATTTCTACAGAAGAAACCAGAATGACTTTCAACGAAATCAAATTGAAAAACTTACGGTTTTAAGCTGACCAAAGACTTGGCCTTTTCCAAGGAACGGCTTGCGACGGCGGCGATGGTGGCGTTTGGAGCGAGGTGGATGGCACGTGAGATTGGCGGGCGATCTGGGCGCAGCCCATTACTCCGATTCGGATTGGCGTGTCGGTGGCCATAGCTGTTGGTTTCTCCGGGGAGAGAGGAAGAGATAGAGACGAAGCGAGGAAGGAAGCGAGGAAGAGAAGAGAAGGTAGAATCGAAACACTTCGTCTTTTTAACGCAGACACGTGGCCAAGAAGATACGGACTCTTCTTCTCCTAATTAGGATACGTTTGTTCGGTAAATATGTATTTTTCATTTATTTTTAAAACAAAATTAGTTTAAGAGACGCTATAACATACGGGATAAAGGTGCTCTAACCTACCGTGTGTTTGGATAAGACGACCATCTGAGTCCTTTTTTTGGTCAAAAGACACCATCTGAGTCTCTAAGCTACACAAATAGTCATATTTGAATGGGCCAATTACTTTTAGGGACAAGTCGATATATTCCTTCAGCTGAAACCAAGACCGTATATATATTGAAGATAAGATTTTGTAAGAAATCCCTAAATTAAACGCTTACATTTATACAAAAATTCTTAGTGATAATTTCTCACCAATATGGGGTTTCTAAAGTCATACATATGAAATCGTATCATATACACATATATATCAAAACGAAATATAATGCCTATCCAGTATATGGGTTAAACTCTTTACCAATATTATTAGTATTTCAGGAAACTCAAATTAGAAGTAACTAAGCACCATTTGGTAGGTAGGTACTAACTTTACTTGATGTTCGGTCCTTTTTCATACTAATGATAATATTATAATGTGGTTTGTTGCATTATTGTGGATTACCAAATGGACACTTAGATGAAATGAAGAATCCATGAAAGAAAATTAGGACAGTGGACCCATTTCTCAAATTCCGTTCACACTTGAGCTTCTACCTTTTACGACACACGAGCTAGCCTTGACATGTTTGCCTTTATTTTCCTATCATCCAATCTTGTCTTCCGAATTTTCAATAACTATCCACGACCTGCTTCTGCTTCTGCTTCTGTGTTAGCTTCTGATTAATGGTTAGTAAGAATTTCATGTGTACGAACGACACCGTAACAAAGATTTAAGTACAAATTCATATCCACTGAGCAACAACAGTATAATGTTATGAGAAATGATGAAAAATGAATATATGTATTTGCATAGAATCGTCTGTAATAATAAAAATCAGTTTAAAAAAATATTTATCGACACTTATGTGTAAATAATCTTCTTATGAGTAAGTTTTTTTGGCTAAATTTTCTTATGAGTAAGCTATTTGACATATATGTATTTGCATGGAAACTATTTTTCAAACATGTTAGGATTAGTCTATAGTTCTAGAAAGATATAAAATAAACAGATTTAGTATAAGTTTTCGAACATGTATCTTCCGGTCCTTTAAGGTAAGGTGCTTTGCTAACACGTCTGATATACTATAACTTTTGTACTTATTTAACATTTAACCCCAAAATAATAACTTGTGTTCATAAAAATAAAATACATTTTCATAAACGTTAGTGTGCCATTGTTTTACTAGTCTATAAGGTTTAAGAGAATTTAAAGCAAACAGTAATCTGAGCTATTTTGCCACGTACGTCATGAGGTGTCTGCAATTTTTATATGCCTTTTGCATGTTCTCATTACTGTTCGCTCGCTTTCTATGCTTTTCTTTTCTAACGATGCCTATCCTCATGCTATTGTATTTGTAATTGTATGTACGTCGCCTACTAGCTTTTTCACCTGTGAAGCCCACACGAATATATATATATATATATATATATATATAATAACTAATAAAAATAGTATAAAATCAGAAAGAGATTATGATTTTACGAACTGGTTGCTAATTGCTAACCGACAACCAACTTAAGGAGTTTAAGATCTATTGTCGATTACATGACTCATAGTTATACTTACTAATCAACCTAACTACCTACCTCGACGAGTATGCAAAGCTATAAAGATGAATCTTTGAGTTATTAGGCTCTCATTTTGTCTTCAAGCTTCTTTTATACTCCTCACTAGTCATTAATCTTTGCATATTATATGCAATTTTCATTAAATGCATACTTCTAAAAATGCGGTACTAAAGACTAAAGAGTGTGAAATGAAATCTCATAAGAAAATATAAAGACAAACAAGAAAACCCAAAATAATCATATTGAAAAGAAAGGTCACTGAAACGAATAATTAAAAAGGCAAATGCCATCTGCACATCATGCAAAAAAAGTTACACAAAACTTAGATTGATTATAGTATAAAATGTAAAGATCCTATACTGTTTAATAAGACTCTGGGGTGTGAACGAAAGCCCACCACGTTCTCTCGAATAACACACACATACACTCCTATATATCTGTCTAATCTAATGGTCAAAAACTCAATTTCTCTATCTAGAAGTTAATAATTCACTCATAGGAACACTCACACAATTTACTTGAGTTGTCAGAAATGAAATCTGTGTTGTGTCGGAGGAGGATGATGAACATAGCCATGGTGCTAATAATAACGCTGACGTGGCTCGGTGGCACGTGCGGGGAGCTCGAGGAACAACTATTC